GATGAGGGGGGCAGGAGGTGAGGGGGTTGGTGAGGTGAGGGGCAGCGCTGGTGGGGGCAGGGGAGGTGGCCAGTGTCAGGAGGGAGGCACAGTTCAAGCCAGTGCAGCCAGGCGCCGGGCCATGGACACCCCCACCTAGCAGCTGTGTGACCTGGTAGAGCCGGTCTCCCCAGTCTCCCCATCTATCAAGCGGAGAAACTGCCTCTCCTGAGGCCGTGTGTGTCTAGTGAAGGCCCCACAAGCAGCTGCTCCTCAGGACCAGCCTGGAGAGCGCCTGGGGAACTTACCCCCCAGGCCATGGCAGGAAAAAGAGGGGGTGGGATCTGCAGGGATTTCTGGGGCTCCACCAGGAAGACTTGGGCCGAGCTGGCGAGGCTGGGAGGCTGGGAGGGGACAAGCGGGGCTGTGTGGCCTTTGACACTGGGTCCCCCAGAGCAGCAGCAGGCAGATGGGACTGCCTGGGCCAGGGGCTGCAGGACTCCAGGCCACACCGTCTCTGCCGCCCTCCCCTGACCCTCGGGGAGCCCCTCCGCCTCTGGGCTGTGCCCTAATCTACAAGCGAGGTGGCTGGATGCGCCGTTCTCTCATCTCCTGCCTCTGAGAAATTTCTGAGCCCAGACATTTCTTCAAGTCACAGCAGCTGGGTGTTTCGCACCACTCCCACCCCAGCACCCAGATGGGCCTGGCATACAGGAGCTGCTCAGAAATCGTTACCCAAGCAAATGAGTGCACCGAAGGGCTCTCTCGGCATCTCGGCCCAGGGTCCTCCCTGCACCTTTGCCCAGAAACACCCACTGGAGAGGCTGTAAACTCTGGACAGCGTCCTCAGCCTGCTAGTCAAATCGGAAAGGGGGTGCAGTGGCCCTGTCTCCCACAGCGCACCTGGGACCAAAGTGCCTCTTCCAGCCCCCCACCCCCAAGTGTCAACAGGGAACGGCACTAAAATCCAAACAGAAGACAGAAAAGCATGCAACATTGGTTTCTCCTGCAGCTGGGAGACGGTCTAGGAGCTGGGAAGAAGCTGAGATGAGGGCGGGGCCCGAGGAGCAGGAGGGACCTGAGAGCAGCGAGAAGAGGCAGGAGAGGAGCTGAGGCAGGAAGGCGAGGGGCGAGAAAGGCACCCCTGGAACACCCAGGGCAGCCGGGGCTTTAGAAGGGACCTGGCATTGGGGTTGGGGGGGCAGTCTGCTCACCAACCCCCTTCCAGGAGCAGCTAGAGGCGGCCCCCTAACTCTGTGGGGCGTCCTGAGAAGGGCAGAGGTTTGTTTTAACCCCCACCCAGGCAAGGGGATCGCAGGGAGGAAGGACAGGAGGGTGCATGTGAGGGAGTGGGGTCAGATGAGGGGTCTGGCACGGGGTCTCCGGGCAGCTGCAGGGAGGTGGTCACAGGAGCACCGGCTGCTGCAGCCCTGGCAGCCGGGGGGGGGGGGGGCCAGGGAGGCCTCGCTCACCTGCTGCTGGGCCTGGATCCTCATGTACTCCGCCCTCTGCTTGCCATGCTTGCCTTTGTCCGGGCTGCCCGCCTGGCCCTGGGCCGCCTTCAACCGGGAGGCCCCCGGAGTCACCACTTTCATGGGTGGCACGCTGCCACCGCCGCTCTGCGGGGAGAGGAGAGGTCAGGCTGGGGCCCCCAGGGGGCGGAGCCACACGGGCTGGAGGCACTGGGGGGTCTCTGGGTCAAGATCTCCAGAGGGCCCCTCCTGGGGCCCCAGCAGGGCCTGGGGCCCAGGCCCACTGTCTGGGGCCAGGTTGAAGGCCTCCCTGCAGGCCGGACAGCAGGGGCTCCCAGCAGCTCCTCACTGAGCACTCTGGCAGCTTCCTTGGAGACAGCAGCTGGTACCCTCCTGAGGGAGCCATTTCTAAGGTGGGGTCCCTTGAACCACCCCGCTCCCAGCAATGGCAGCAGCTTCAGGCCTGGGGGAGCATGTCTGAGGCAGGTGGGGGCGTTTATACAAGCAGAACAGGATGGGCAGCTCCAGGCCCACATCCCTCTCCAAATGGCAGGATGAGGGTGAGGTCCCAGAGATGGGCAAGTCTGGCCTCCGACCACCCCGGGTACCAGGCCTGCCCGGAGGCTCTGGAAAGGCAAGGCGCAGGCAGGAGCCGACAGAGACAGAGTCAGGCAGGAGGGGGAGAAGAGCGTGGGGCGGAAGAGAGGGAGAGAACTTTATTGGCCGGTCCGCAGATACAGCAGAGGGGGAGGCCCTGGCCCCTGCCAGGGTGGGCTGAGCCGAGCCCGGGGAGGCCGGCTTCCCAGCCTCCCCCGCCTCCGCCTGCGCCCACCCAGGGCAAGCTCCCAGGGGGGTGGGAGGGTCTGAGAGAAGGTGGGTGGGAGGAGGGTGCTCCTGCCGCCCCCACCCCCTCCAGCTCTGCGGATGGAGAGACTGGAGTGGGAAGGCAGGAGGGGAGCCAGGGGAGGAGGCAGCCACCTGGGGGTTTGGGGGGCAAGAGCGGAGGGCCGCCGGGAGGCCCCGTGAGGAGGGCCGTGCCCATTTGGCTCAGAGTGGCTTCCAGTTCCCGGAGCGTCTCCTCCAGGCTGTCCATCCGCTGGGTGGCCGTGCCCCTCCCTGCTCTGCCTTGGCCAGCAGCAGGCTGGCCCTTGTGTCCCCCACTGCTGGGCTGGGCCTCGAGTCCAGAGTCCTTGGGGGTCTCCGCTGGGTGAGTGTCAGCTCTTGAGGGCTCCTGAGCTCTCTCTGGAGCTGGTGCCTGAGAACACTTGGCCCCGGCTCCTCCCTTCTCCAGGCTGCAGCCCCTTCTCCCCACTCTCTTCAGGGCCACCCCTTCCTTCTCAGGCATCAAACCGTTCCTGGGACAGGAGGCCTCGGCCACAACTCCTGGCGGGGACCGGGGGCCATCCCAACCCTTCCCCCTGCCAACCAGGATCCTGGGCCCTGGGGTGGGGGTTATCCTGGAGCTAGATTCCTCAAGCCTGGCCTCAGGTGGGGAGGGAGGTTTGGGGGCACACTCCGTCAAGATGATCCGGGGGACACAGAAGGCCCTGGGGCCTATGGCAGCCTGGGGGGAGAAGAAAGATGAGGGAGGGTGTGATCCCTGTAAACCCAAGCACCCAAGCCAGGATGGGGGTCGGACATGGGGGCCCCGGCCGCTTCCTTTCATAGAGGGAGTCAGGGGAGAGCCTGATGGTTTCACCCAGCAGGATAGTAGCAAAGCGGTGCTAGGAGTCTCTTTCACCACACCTGATGGTGTGGATACGTTAAACTCAGGAAGGTCGCAGGGGTGACGAGAACCTGAGGCGGCGACCTCGGCACTCAGGGAACGCACAAGGCACATGCTTAGGGCGCGCCTGCTGCCCTGTGTGCTCCAGAAACTGTTCACTGGCCCAAACTGAATGGGAGACCGGCCCCGCCACGCGGAGGACACCAGGCACTGGCCTCCGAGGGGTGGGCTGTCAGCCTCGTCTCCGGCCAGAGGTTCCTGGCCCTCACCCCTACTCTCTGGGCTCTCTCCAAGGGCCTCGCAGCCCAGGAGGAGAGGCCAGGCCCCCTGCTGCTTCCATGTGAACGTGGCCAGCTCTGACCTCCGAGAGAGGCCCCCAACCGGCCCCTCCAACTTGGGCCCTGGCCTGAGCCTGGGCCTCAGCCTTACGGTGGGCCAGGCCTCAGGTGTCCCATCTGAGCCTTACGAATGGCTACGACTGTCAACTCCCCGCTTTGCAGAATACCCAGGCTGTGCGGTCAGGTGTTCACGCGAGGTCATTACACAGCTAGTTAGGAGCAGAGCCAGGAGCTGAGTCCAGGCAAGCTGACCTGTGCTCCCCCAACCCCTGCAAAAGAAGCCATGGGGAGATTTGAGGGGACAGCAGGGACCCCAAGCCCTCCTCCTTAGGCAACCCCCCAGCCCTGCCACCTGCTTACCTGGAGGTGGGGGGTGCAGACTGGGAAGGCAGAGAGGGCACCCCATGCCTGCCGGCTTCACTGCCTGACAGCGCCTCAGGATGCAGCGGGTGAGGAGGCCCGAGAGGCCAGCAGAGGGCTGTGCCACTGGGCCCCTCAGGATTGGCTTCCAGAGCAAGAGGGGAGGGGCTGGGGGCAGCGGGCAAGCGCTGAGGGCACAGCCAGCCTGGAGGCACCCCACCACGCTCACTGCTCATCACAGCTCCTTGGGTGGCTCTGTGCCCACCGCTGCCCAGCAGTCTGGTGTCTGCCCGCTCCCCTGGTCAGGGAGACAGCACCACCAGGCCTCAAGCCAGGTGAGAAGTAACTGACAGCCAGCATGGAGCCCAGCGTGGGCCAAGAGAACCCAACGAGGCAAGGGCGCACGGGGGTGCACCAGAGGCTACCCAGCCCGGAGGAGAGGCCGCTGTCCCCACCTGCAGGCGGAGGGACAGCCCCAGGCAACCCCCCCAGCCCCTCCTCCCCAAGCGCAGTGCCCGGCGGGCAGACAGCAGGTCCGTTCCCAATCTCCCGAGAAAGAGCAAAGAGGAAAAAGATGCAGCGGGAGAGCAGCAGACGGAAGCTGAGAAGGAAGCCTTGGCCAGGAAGGTGGTCCCACATCCCAGCTCCCGAGCCAGCAGGCGCGCGGGCCTCGGGGCGGAGGGAGGGCCTCGGGGCTGCGAAGGAACCTCGCCCTCGTCCCCAGCCCAAGGCTTCGACTCCGGCCGGCCGGTGGGAGAAACGGAGCCCCCACCTGGCACAGGCAGCAGAGCAGGGGCGGCTGGGCACTGGCAAGGGCACAGGACCCAGGCAGGTTGTGAGCTGGACCATAAGTCATCCAGCAAGCCCGGGACACACGACACACTCCAATCTTGAACCAAGACAAACCCAGGCTTTGGCCAGACCTAGTCTCGGGCAGCAGATCGGAGCCAAAACCCCAGGCCGCCACGGGCCGTTCAAGCCTGGAGACCATGCAGGCCCAAGGGGCCGCCCGGCACCAGGCTGCTGGCTTCTCCTCTCCCAGAGGGGTTTAAGTGGGCGAGGTGGTGGCTGGGGGGGCCGGGGAGGTGACTAGTGTTTCAGCAGGTTAGCGTGATAGGTGCGGAGAGGAAGCTGTGGAGGCACAGGCGGAGAGACAGCTGTGAAAGTGGGGGGCAGCCCGTTACCTTCCATGTGGGGCCCAGGGCTGAGCCCCCAGGGGGCCCCGGGTCCTGGGGGGACAGCAAAGTGGGGATCGGCTGGCGGCGGGGTGTGGGGGGGAGGGAAGACACTGAGCTTCTCTCAAATACCTAGGGAGCAGAAGGCAGGAAAGTTGGGAGAGTGGGCACAGGGAGGGCAGCCGAGTGTGGGCCTGTGAACGGCTCAGGCCCCCTGCGGAGGCATGGGCAGGGCTGGCGCTGGGGCCCAGCTTCACTCCGGCCCCTCACCATGGCCCTGGCCGCTCTGCCCTCCAGCGAGCCTCCTGCTGTAGAGACCCCAGGAGTCAAGGGTCTCCAGCCACAAGTGGGGGTGCTGAGATCACCTGAGTCTGGTGACTCACAGCATTGGGAGTGAGGGTGCAGAAACACTGTTCCCATGTCAGTCAGGGGCAGTCAGGGCCCTCAGAGGCTACGTCAGGAGGGAACTTCAGACGCCCCTCCCCCATTTCACAGTGGAGAGGACCGGAGGAGACGGGTGGGGTCCTGAACAGGCAGCACTGGGGAGGTCCGCGGGGCGAGAGTCCATCCCTGCCCTACACAGCCACGTGCCTAGGCGTCGCGCAGCGGGCAGGGGGAGCGGGCAGGCCCAGGTGTGCCCAGACCTACCTCCAGCTCTGCGATGATGCGGTCCTCGTCGTCCTCGTCCTTGATGGCCGAGGCCATGATGGGTGGCGTGGAGGCCGGGCGGGCCACCTCCGACACGGTCCGCCGCAGCTTCACCTGCGGCTTCTGCACCTCCAGCTCCTCAGACTCAGCCTTCTGAGAGGCCCAGGCCCGGTCAGGACCAGGCTCGCCCCAGGCGCTCTCTCCAGCACCAGCCTACCTCCCAGGCCTGTCGGCGGCTGACCACTCCCCACCTGCCCCCACTCCTCTGCCCCTGCCAGGATGGGCCCCTTCCCAGGGTGAAGCCCAAGCTGGGGCAGAGTCACCCCACCTCCACTTCCCAGGACAGAGGGCATGCCCCTGGGGTCTCCAGAGGTCATCTCAGACACCCTCCAGCCTCCCCCCACCCCTCCTGCCCAGTGGGGGTTGTACCTTGATGAAGGCCGAGTCCTTCTTGCTGGTGACCACCACCTCTCCGGTGCGAGTGGTGGTCAGGCCGTGGGAGGAGGGGAAGCTTCGGCGCGGAGGGGGTGGCGGGGGCGACTTGGAAGGCTTCTCCGTGCGGTATCGGGGAACGGTCAGCTCATCTGTGGGCAGCCCAGGGACTGGGGATCAGGGGAGCCGTACCCCGAAGCTGGTGGCCACATCTGACTCCAAGGGAATAACCTTGCTGCTTCTTCCAGGGAGAGGGGAGAGGAAGGGCCCCTGCACCCCGCTCTTACCCTCCCAGGCTCTGGCCCACTGAGCTGCTCCTCCCCTTGCAGCACTGGCGCCCAGGCTGACTTCATAACCACACTGAAGCTCACCAAGCGCTGCCTAGCCCCTCTCTTTCCCACAGCCCCCCCAGCCCCAGCCCTGCACAGACCACCAGCGGTTACTACAGCCAGTGCGGACTCCGCCCACCGAGCGCTCCCTTCCCCCAGCTCCTGGGGCAGCAGGAGATGTTTCCAAGGCAACCTGCACAAAGGTCACTGGGAGCTGACCCTTCTCTGCCTTTGATCCCCCCAGTGGCTCCCAATTACCCCAAACAAGGTCTAAGCTCCTTGGCCCAGCTACCAGCTACCCCGAGCCTGCCAATCTTTCAGCCTGGGCTCTCCTGCTACTCCCTGGTTAGGGTGGCCTGGCAACCACAAACACACACCTCCCAGCATTTGCAAATGTCATTCCTCTCCCTGGAATTCCCTCTCTAGCACCAGCAGGGAAACACCTACTCCAGAGAAAGTTCCCACTTTTGGGGCGGCCTTCTCTCCCTCCCAGGGCCTCCTGGGGGCTCACCCCACCGCTGCATTTAGCACCTGCACGCTGTTTGAACCACACTGGGGAGGGCCTGGGCCAGGTCACCAAATTATTCTGAGCTAGTGACCTTATCTATAGAATGGGAATGAGGGTCCCCTACTGGCGCAATGGGTTAAAGCGCAGCATTGAGAAGCTCTCAGCAGCCGCTGCAGCTCCAGCTGGATCCCTGAGTTCGTCCCCCGGCCAAGGAGCTGACCCACATGGCGTGAAGGCCTCTCCTGACCCTGACCGCCCGCTGCTCCCCTCAGCAGTGTTTTTGAGTCCATCTGACTGTTCTGCTCCCCACTCTGTCTCTGGTGAGGCCTCTCAACCCCACTCCTGCACCTCTGGCCTGTACCCCAGTTCTTGTAGGCATAAATAAACCTTTTTTTAAAATGGGAATGATTACTGTAGCCACTTCCTGAGGTTGCTGAGCACTAGCTGTAAGGATTAATACATGGAAAGCACCCGGGATTCTTGTCACATAGTAAGTGCTTGGTAAACACAAACATTAGTAATATCGCCCCACTACATTTTAAGCTCCTTGAAAGCAAGCAGTGTCTTATTTCCTTATTGCCAGCCTGCACACACAGTAGGTGCTTCACAGATATAGAATGAATGAATGAATGGCTGACCGCCATTTTGGCCTCCCCTATGAGCTTACAGACTTGGGGGGACAGGAACCGAGTCTGGATGGACAGGTCCGTACAGTTACACCCGGTCTCAGCATTGCCTGGCTCCTGGCACACCTGGGTCAGGCTGTGCAGCTGTGGTTACTGCTCTGCCTGGACAAGCTCCTTGTCCTGGCAGCGACCCTGAGCAGCAGTCAGCAGCGGGAGAAGCCCTAGTTAGGGCGGCTCCACCCCATGCTTCCAGGCTCCCTCTCATGGCTGAGGGCTGGGCAGTTGACCCTGGCCCCACCACAAAGACTCCAATGTGCCTCCCCCATTAACCCGTGAGCTCCTGGGAATGGGGGTTCCCCTCCTCTAGGCTCTACACCAGCCCCCTAGCTGCCCCCTACCTGAGCCTCTCCTCCCGCTGGGCTCTGTTCGGGGAGCTGCCTTCTGCCCGTGGGGAAGCTTGGGGGGCTTGTGGTCAGGGGTGGGGGCGACACCCGGGGGGGCCTTGCTTGCACAGTCCAGGTCAGGGATGGCCTTCAGCAGCTCTGCCTGCGTCTCTTCCAGCAGCCGGTTGATGTCCTTGGCGCTATACTGGGTCAGGGCTGCCCGCTTCTCCTCCCAGTCTCGCTCAGCGGCCTTGAGAGGAATGGGGAGAATCAGAACTAAAGTACCTGCCCTGCCCTTGGGTCTCTGGGCCTTCAGTCTTCCCCTGGCCATATGTGCAAAGCAAGGGACTAGGAAGCCTCACCTTTGGGCCCCACTCCCACTGGGACCCTTGGACACTTCTTGCGTATTCCATGCTTTCCCCGGGAGCTTGGAAAGCCACTAAACAGTGGCTTTATACAGTATATAGTATTCTCTTGATATGTTTAGACATGCCTTTGGGACGTTCTATATTGTTTCATGGAACACCATCTATTCTTATGCTAACACCACACTGCTTTAATTATTATAGCTTTATATATGCTTTTCTTTCTAGCAGGGCTAATATCACCCCCAATATGCTTCTCAGACTTCCATGAGAGAAGTTATGCTCCTCCCCCAGAAAAAAAGGTGGCTCTTCCAACCCTAGGAAGGTGGGGAAATGTGTGAGCCTAACTCACACCTCCCTCTTGGGCCCAGTACCTCAACAGACACAGCCTTGTCCACACTTCTTTTGCCAGAAGCATCCAAGCCTTTGGTAGGGTTGCCCCCCTTGGGAAGAGGAGGGGCCCCCTCAGCTGACCCACTCAATTCATGGAGGTTCATTGGAGGGCTGGGGGGTGGCATTTCAAAGTCCAAGCTCTTGTTAAAGTCTGTCTCCGCTGTCACTTTCTTGGGCGATTGACTCAGAAGGTTGTTGGGGGGTGGCCACACGCCCTCGTCCACTTGCCTGGAGTGGGGAGAGTGAGGAGCATCTGTGAGTTTGGCAGGGGGGTGGCCCGATGGAGAGAAGTCTAGCCTGAAGGGGACAGGTGGAAGGGCCTGGGGAGAGTGGCCCAGCATAAGGAACAGCCAAGCCTATAACATGTGAGGGGGTCACAGGTCAGAACTGAGGGGCAGGCCCAGGCTGCACACTGGACCATTGTGGGAGTGAGGATAAGGGGTTAGCTGGAGCTATACATTTGAGCCCAGTGTATGACCCCATAAAAATCAGAGATCAGAAATAAGAGCTCAGGGATAGAGTGACCTTCGGATCTGGGCCAGTGTGTCCGTGACCCCACGGCAGCGCTTAAGGAGCCCGTCCAGGCGCTGGGGCTCTTCCTTCAGAAACTTCACAGCCTCCACCTCCACACGCAGCACCACCCGCATCTTGCTCTGCAGGCCTGGGAAGTGAGCTGAGGGGACAGGAAGGGGTGAGCTGGGGAAGGAGCAGCTCTGAGAACCAGAAGGGGCACAGGTAGGGCAGGGCCTGGGATGGGGTGTTCACTGGGATGGGGGGGGTCACTGGGATGGGGGGGGTCACTGGGTGGGGGGGGGTCATTGGCCTCATTCACTAGCCTCCAGGCTTACCTTTCAGGTCAGTCAATGTCTCCCCAAGCTGCTTCAGCACCAGCGCCTTCTCCTCCAGCTCAGGCCCGGGCACCAGCCGGTGGTTGTGGGACACGTCCCTCTGGATCTTCTCCACCGACTTCTCCAGGTCACTGCAGCCACAGAGAGACCCTCTCAGCCCCTCTGGCCCCAGCCCAGCCCTCTGAAATTGGGTAGTTGGAAAGAAATTAGACCACCAGTCAGATCAAAATTAAAAGCCCTCCACCAGGCCACCTGCCCAAGCGAAACCAGAAATGCCAACCGCAGAGGTGAAACTTCAGAAGTGCTCCCTACTAGGTGCCCTTGAGCACCCTGCTTTGAAGTTCTGGTCTTTAGCAACATCCATCCAAATCTCCCTCCTTATAACTTGCATCCTCCGATTTCTCATTCTGCCAAGGAGGCAGCAGAGAAGCTGGCAGCCCTTCTGAGGAACCTGGCCAGCTGCATAGGCCCCTGGGGGTCTCTCTTCTTGCTGGGTGGCACTGCCATGTTCACCCATCTTTTCTCAAATGATCGAGACTCTCAGCCTCTTTCTTTGAGGACAAAATTGCTTTCCATTGCCACCTAGCTTATGTCCAGCTGTGCTGTTTAAATCCACATTTCTAAAATGCAAATCAGATCCAATCATCAACCCTGTATTGATCCCTAAGTGGATCCCACATTCTGACACGAACATGCAAACTCTTCAATCAGCAAGGACACGAGGGCAGCCGTTGAAAACTTGGCTAAGAGCCAGTCAGATCCATGTTCTAATCCCAGCTCTGCCCGTCCCAGGGGAGCACGTTTGGGTAAGATCACCGACTCTCTGTGGGCTGTCACCTCCTCATCTATAAAAGGGGTGGTGAGAGCTCGCCCCTGCGGAGGCCACCTTGAGCATCAGATGAGCTACTGCTGCTGGGAGAGCAGGTGGCAGGGTCAGGAGACTCGGGTCACTCTTGTTGTCCTCCCGCTGCATCCCTTGTCCTCATATGGCTGCACATACGAAGTGCCCAGAACTATCTGAGGTCCTTGAGTGTGCAGCCCTCTCTGAGTCTTTATAACATCATTTCCCCTGCCTGGAACAACCCACATACCTATGCACGCGCACAAACTCACATGTGCACTGACTGTCATTCGCCCTCCGTCTCAATGGGCACCACCCCCCACTCTCCCCACACTTGGGGTTGGGGTGGGCTTCCTGCCCTCCCAAGCCCTGGAGTTACTACTGGCCTCTTGGACCATGAGCTCTAGGCAGGAACCATCTCTTCTGGATTCATGTCTCTTTCCAGCACCTGGCATGGTGCCTGGAGCAGAGACGCCTGGTAAATAATGGTGGAATGAATGAGTAAGTGAAAAGGGAACTGCTGCCCAGGTAGGTCATCTCGAGCCTTTACTTGAGCTGCTGACATTGCTAACCTGCGGGAGGGGCGTTTCACACATTCCTGTCAAATCCCATCTGTTAGATTTCAGTTCAACAATCCAGGTGGGAACAACCTCTAAAGCTCAATTCTACCATAGAACAGATTCACTCCTCCTCAATGCTCTGTGTCATCAGCCAATCTTAGTAGCATGCCTAAATCTAGCTGGTGAGAACACAGTCCACAGTGGAGCTGAGGACAAAATCCTGTGACTCAGCCCTACCAGTTGAAGACTCGGCGTACACCAGTGCCGCGCTCAACCCTTCACTTTACTTTATTTAACCCTCAAAACAAATCCTGTGAGTGGGAACCATTATATCTCCAGTTTACACACAGACAAACAGATCAGCCACTAGACTACATTTCTGTTTCCTCTGCAGTTAGAAGTGGGCATCTGATTGAGGTAGAACCAACAGTGTATGAAAGGAGGGTGCTGCTGCCTCTGGTTCTGGCCCACAAACCCTCCCATGGAAGCCCCTCCAGCTCTTTCCCTCCTTCCTGTTGGCTGAGAGGCAATGCCCCTCTGGGTGATTAGGGCAGTCACATACTGAAGATGGCACCATCTCTATCACCCCAGGCCCCTGAATGACTGCATGGAGGAGAGTCACTCAGGTGCCCAATGACCATGAGCAAGAAATGTATGTCTGTTACTTTTGAAACGTTATACAAAATTTACAGCAACTATCCTAACTAATAAGCCACCCCAGTAGAGCAAGCTTCAACATTAAAAAACAAAACAGCGATTCAGGGAGATTAAGTAACTTGTCCAACGTCACACGACTGTTTCGTGGCAGAGCAGGCTCTACTCATGTCTCTGACTTCTATAGAACAGAACCACTGGATTCTGCTGCACCCACTTCCACCTGGACTAACATCACCCCACACTCACCCTCTGTTCTGCCCAGCGCTCACAATGCTACATGGGAAAGAATAATTCTCGGCTGTGTGTAACACAGGGTGGGCCCCGTTTGTGAAATGCTCACTCCCAAACATACCCCTAAGGGGGAAAACCCTTAATTAAATTAAAGGGTACGCCATCAGGAGACAGCAGAATGAACCAGACTCCCCCTGGACTCGATCAGCATCTCAATTTCCTGGTCATCCAATCTGCCGAAGTTTGGGACCAGCTACATACATGAGTCCTGGTCCAGCTCAAGTCCAGACACCAGGATCAGAACGTGGTTGGGCTTCTAGACCCAGAGCTAGCCCTGGAGGGTCAAGAAGGGCAGAGCGGAGCCAGTTATATAATTTGTGGGGACCAATGCAAAAAGAATATTGAACTTGTGAGGCCCAAGTTAAAAAATTGTTCAAGATTTCCAGGCAGGATAAAAAAGCATTAAACCAAGCAAGGTGCCCTTCTGAGCAGGAGACTCCGTGTGACTGCAGGCCACTACCTACAGAGCTAGACCTGGGTAGGCAAGGAAAGCTCCCAATCAGGTGCTCGGAGGTGCACGGTGTAGCTTGAGTGCTTGGTGAGATTTATAGGTGACTGGGCCAAGCTGAACAGGTACCGTTGCCTTAACTTTCAGCAAGATGCCAGGCCAGAGCAAAGCACAGCATAAGGAAACGTAGAGTCTGCGGGTAGAGCAGGGCCAGGGATGGGATGCTTTTCCACCCAGTGCCTGGGGAGGACCTTGGAGGGGGGCAGGGGCAGGGGTGACCGGCTCTCTAAAGGCAGCCACATCAGAGCCGCCACAGGGCTGTGTGCACCTCAGCTCCGGCCCCACCTGAAAAAGGTAGGAGCGCCCTTCAATGAGGACAGAGAATCCTGCCAGAGGCAACATTCCAGCCCCCAGTTCTCTCAAGTAGCAGGCTGAGTAATGGGTTTTTACAAGAGGGTGAGGTGTGGGGGTGGGAGTCTCTGTGTTCCTAAGACCTGAGGCCCCCAGGAAGCTGAGGACCAGACACTCAGATGAGAGGAGCATAAGTCCACCCTTTCATCTCTTCTGTCTCCGTGATTTTATATTTCCTTTCATTTCCTTTCATGTCTCAGTAAAGTTCCTTTTGAAAGCTCCAACCCAGCTCCTCTGTGCTGAGTGAAAGGGGCTACGAGAGGACAAGAAAGTCGGGGAAGTGGCATTTCCTGGGGGAAGGGGAATGGCAGCTGCCAGTCTACTTGTACCTCTGATAGGCGTCATCACTGAGCTTTCGAACCCGGAGAGGGGGCAGCCCATATTTTGCCTCGGCCATGTGTCATGGGACCTCCCGCCTTGAGCCTGGAGAGTGCACACACCCTGTAGGGCTGGCGCGGCCCACGGCCCAGGAGCAAAGTTCCTCCCCCAGGGGCCCCTCGCAAGAGGTATGGCCAAACCTGACTTGGCCATACCTCCTGCACCTTCTGGGGTGCTCACTCCAGACTCCCCAGGTTCTACCCTGGAAAGAACTGCAAACACCCTAATATTGGGCACAGAAGAGGAAGCTGAGACGGGCAGAAACTGGCCCCTTGGCCTGGAGCTACAGACTTCAGGTCTCCCCACGCCCTGTGCCACCGAGAGGGAGGCCCAAGGAAGAGAGGGGCCTCTGTTCCAGAAGCCAGTGGCTGATTAGGGGTGGCTGCGGTAGCGTGGGGCTGTTCACCAGGGGCTGGACAGTGAAAGGCAGCATCTCCCTTCAAAGTGGCCAGGGGCCAGACAGATGATCGAATCTTGGCCAGACAGCCCTTTGCTAAATTTGGATCAGAAGACTGTCTCCTGTTAACCCTTCCGTGTCTGAGCACTTGAGTGCTAGGTCCTCTGAAAAGGCCAGCTGCACTGGCCTGGAGGAGCGTGTTCCTTGACGATGCCTGGCCTCAGAGATCAGGGAATTGCAGGGGTAGCCACTGCGGCTGGTCAGTGAGCTTCAAGCTGGTAACACTTGCAACTCCACCTCAATGTTCTACCCTGGGGCTGACTGGCACAAGTCACGGGCCAGAATGAAAGTGGCCGGCGGGCAGGAGGAAATCAGACAGGCGGCCCCAGGAAAGTAAGGCTGCAGGCCACAGGAGGCCAGGCTGTGGGCCCGCAGGGGGCAAGATCATAGCAGAAGTGGGCATGGCATCAGAAACAAGACATCGGGACTGTGCGAGGTGGTCAAAGGTCTGTGAGGCACAGGGAAATCGGGCCACAGAGGAGAGGCTTCGGGGCAGACCACCGTCCCCCGTGATTCAGAAGAAAGGGGGCGGCGCCGCCCAGGGAACGAGCTGGAGGGCTCCGGCGGCCCGGCCCTCCCTCCACGCGGGGCCCAGCCTCACTTGAGCTGCTGCGTGATGAGCTCCTCGTCGTTGAGGTAGCGCAGCCGCTCCTCCTCCACCAGGGTGCGCTGCCGCTGCAGCGGGTCCTCCTGCCGCCGCGCAGCCTCGGACACGCGCATGCTCAGCTCCGCCTCCGTGCCCTTGAGCAGCGCGCGCAGCGACTCCTGGTTCTGTAGCTGCGGGACGCAGATGGACGGATGGCCGAGTGGGAGGGAAGGGGGACGAGCAGCAGGGAGAGGACGGGAGGAGGCAGGCGGAGGACAGCCCGATGCCGGGCTTTGGCCGTGAGCAGCCCCGGCAGGGTGGGGTGGAGGGGCAGCAGCCGACGGCCCAGGCCCGGTGAACAGATCAGGAGGAAGCGCCTGGGGGACGGTGGAGGAGGCGCCTGGGGGACGGTGGAGGAGGCGCGGGGGGGACGGTGGAGGGAGGCATGGGGGGAGGCGCGCTAAATTGGACCCTGCGGAAGGTGCGGCTGCATGGCTGTGGCCGAGAACTGCAAGGGTGGGATGGTGGGGGCTAAAAGACAAGGTTATGTTGGGGGAAACAGAGGCAGGAAACGGGATAGGGCTGTGAGGGCTGGGCGGGGGGCGGTGGTTTGGAGGCGGCAAGGGATGGCCCTATGCGGGCCGAAAGCGGCGTCCCTGTGCGGTTGCTGGCTGTGGCTCGGAACAAAGACTGGAGTTTGGTAGAGCTGATGAGGCTGGGAATGGAAGTCTGAACGCTTGAGCCCCGTGTTAAGGTCTAGTTGGCGCAATGGTGAGGGTGGGCGAGATCTTACTCATTGCCCAGATGGCACTCTGCCCCCTCTCTGGCCTGTCTTTGCTCATTATTCTCACCTGATGGGCCTGGGCCCTCTCGAGGAGCGGGGCACATTGATGCCAGGCTCCTGACTGGTGGGACCATCTGCCAGGTGGGGCAGGGCATAGAAGACCGGACGTAGAAGACCAGGCACTCTCCGGAAGGGGGAGCAGAGCGAATCTGGGGGAAGGGCTTCTGCCCAAGGAAGTGGTAGGGAAAAGGAATGTGGGACCGGAAGGAGCTGGGACCACCCAGAAAGATACTCACAGGGGCGGGATTCAGTGGGGCGGGCAGGGGCCCCAGGAGAGCAGTGAAGATTCAGGGCCTGGGTAGGACGTCTCAAGAAAAGCAACAGGCAAGGGGAGGGGACTTGGTGAAGGAGCAGAGATTCCACGGTGGGGCGGGGCGGAAACTCCAGGAAGAGCAGCACGGGGCCCCTGAAGGGAGTCTGGGGTTCTGGTCAGATTTCTGGCTCGGTTTGGCAGCGAAGGGGTGGGGGCAGCGCTTGAGGGGCGGTACCTGGAGCTTTCGCAGTTGCTGCAGCTGGTTGCGCAGGTCACTGGTGCTGTTCTGTAAGCCCCGCAGGTACAGCTGCATCTGCAAACGGCTGATGGCGGTGGGCTGCCCCGCGGGGGTGCTACCGGCAGAGGGCGGGGGAGGGCCCGACACTGGGGTGGCCCCACTGCTCCGGCTGCCTGACCCGCAGGCTGCAGAGAGGGACCAAGGGGAACAAATCGTGAGTCTGAGAGGAATCTGGGCAAGATTCTTCCCCCTCCAGACCCCATCGTAGAAAGGCTTGTGACTCCCTGCCCCAACTAGGGATCGGCCCTCTCTCTGTGGGGAACAAGTCCTAGGGCAAAGACATCTTGGACTGAGATGGCTCTTCATTTATCCATCTAAGTTCAATTGTGGTAGCTACCGCTTAACCCCCCCCCCCCTTTAGAGACTAGGAATGTGAGGCTTAGAGGGAGCAAAGACTTGTGGGGGGTGGTTCACTCACGTGCTGAGGGGGTGGCTGCTCCATTGGAGCCTTCAATCTTCTCACTGTGGCACAGGGAAAAGATGGCCCCAGACAGTCAAAGCTGGGCAAGACCATAACCTAATCTCCCCCAGCACCACACCTGAGCTCTGGTCACAGATGGAGTGCCAGAGAGGAGACGGGACTCGCCCTAGTCACAGCACAGAGCAGAGCCAGGGCTCTTACTGCCCAATTCCCCGTCCACCTGTCCAACCACAGACCCTAGCTGGTGTTAGAAAAGCCTCACCTGGGCGTCTCCGGCTCCGAGCCTCGGAGTAGGGCACTCTGCACCAGGCCTGTGAGGCTGGCGATTTGCTTCTCCATGGCCTCCATGCGCTCCCTAGGGAGGATAGTGGCACTGAGCAACCCCTTCAATGGACATGGGCTTCCTCCTGCCCACCCACCCCCCATTCCTAAGATTGATACGATAGCGGAAATATCATTCCCTCCCCTGTCTCTAGCACAGACTATTCCAAGGGCCCAATGCACAACACCCTAACAGGGTAAAGCTCCTCTCCATCTGACAGTCACACCAACCTCATGTCTCGCCACTGGCTCCCTAACAGGCCCCGCCCCTGCCTCTGTGCCTCTGCACATGTGCCCCCTGCCTGGCATGCCTTCCTCTCCACTTCCTCTCTTAATCCACCCCAGAGCCCCCAGCAGCCTTGAGGAGTCCCTCCTCCCATACCACCTGTACCCCCTCCCAAAGGAAGGGCAAGTAGTTTTTACCGTGTCTCCCCCAATACACAGGGCAGTAACTTAATTTGCCCAATTTGGCATCCTGGATATCAACAGTGCCCAGGGTAGTGCCTGACTACACAGGCACAAGAGATGCTCCTCACCACTCAGCAGTACTGCCTGAGGGCTCAGAAGGACAAGCCAGTGCCCTGGGAGCCTCCTCTGGCCCTGACCCCTTAGGAGAAGCTGAATGATGGGCAAGAGTTCCCAGCTGGGAGGTGGGAGGGGGCACCCTGTTGGCACAGGGGTCAAGTCTCCGCTCTATGGCCATGAGAACGCAAAGGCCTGAGTTTGATCAGACCTCTCCTGTCCCGCCCTCTGTTCCCAGCTCGGAGACTGCCTAACAGAGTGTGTACTGCTCTCCCCATCCCTATTTCTTACCAATACCCCTGCTAGTGGACTTCAGCTGACCCTGTGCTGGACAGCTCTCATAAATACAAATTCTCTGGGCAGAAAAGGCACTAGACTGAGCAGGTATAGCCTCAATTTTAGTAGGGGAAATTGAGGCTCATGGAACTGCAGCAAGCCCAGATAGATCTCCAGAGTCCTTGCCTGGGACTCCCTGGTCCACCCTGGGACCTTGCCAACAGAAGGGAAATGGCCTGTCTCCAGTGTCCTCCTCCCACATCCAAGATACTCTCTGGCTTCTCTCAAGGCCACTCGGTCTACAAAGGACTGAGGTCTGAGCCCAGGACATAATTCAGTCTCCCCCTCGCCGCACCCCACAGCCCCCGCACAGCCCGAGGCTTAGCAAGCTTCGCTTACCTGGTCTCCGTGTCCTTGGTTGCTACCGGTGGCCCGAACCCAACCAGAGGGCGCTCCCCAGGCCCGGGGAAGAGCTCGGGAGGGGGGCCTCCCGCCGTCGAGGAGCCCCCGGTGCTGCGGGTCTTGCCCCCAGGGCTCTCGGCAAAGACCGACGACGAGCCCGAGTCTTTGCGGAAGGACTGGCGCACCGGGGAGCCGCGGCTGGGTGGCCCCGAGTAGGGGCTGTGTGGCGGCGGGGGTCCTCCGGGGGGCGCCGCCACGTCGGCTAACTTCTGCGGGGAGGAGGGCGGCAGGCGGAAGCCGTAGCCGTCGCCATAGAGCGGGCCGCCGCCCGCCGCCTTGTACAGGGAGTCCTCCAGGTCTGACTGCAGCGCGGCGGCCGAGTAGGTGCTGAGCGAGCGCACCGAGCCGCGCTTGTAGAGGCCCCCGGCGCCCGGATAGGCAAACGGGTCGCCGGCGGCCGCGGCCAGGCTCAGGCGGCCCTCGTGGAGCAGTCCGTAGGGGTCGGCATAGAGGCCCTCGCCCTTCACCAGCACCATGCCGCCCGCCTTGCCCGCCAGGTCCTCGTCTGGCTTCACGTCGCGCCGTTCCAGGATGGCGCTGGGGCTGGGGCTGACGCCCTGGGCGGCGGGGGCGCCTCCCAGCCGCTCGGGCGCGTGGTGCACCGGGCTGCCCGCGTAGGAAGGCGGGCGCCCTCCGGCGTAGGAAAGGCGGGAGCGCGACGGCGAGCCCGACGGGAGCCCGGACGGGAGCCCGGACGGGAGCCCTGGCGGCGGCGAGCTGGACGCCAGGTGAGGTGCTGGCGACAGGTTGTTGAGGCGCCGTGTGGGCGACGACTCCCGTGACGCATATACCATCTCTCTCTGTGTAAAAGACAGTTCCGGAGCCCCACAGGGCTGGTCACTGAGGGGACCCGGTGCCCTTGCTTGAGGAGCCAGCATGACCCCCTGCCTCTTGGGAAGTTCCTTCTGCTTTCTGCCTTCTTTGCCTTCTACTGCATCTTGGGCCCCTTTCCCATCTGGGCTCCCAACATGGGAGGAAAAAATGGCATATGGAAAGTACCAGGGCAACCCACAGATCACTTTATGGTGAGGGGCGGCGAAGCAAAAGGGTATTTCCTGGGAGAGGCCCCTTAGAACATCTAGAGTCCTGCTAGGGAAATCCTCAGCTGACAGAAACGGACAATGGCAGAGCAGAGGAGAGAGCATAGACCCCACAACCCCACAATGGAAGGAGGCCACCCTCTGCTTCAGCCCCTGGGTTCCTTCTCCAAACTGGCTCTGGTTCCTGATAACGGGTTACCAGACTCGTTGGAACCCATCTTCCCAGCCCCCTCCACGGGTCCCGGGCATCCCAGCCTTACCCGGAGGTCCCCGTTGGTGAGGTGTGAGCCAGGGAAAGCAGCGTAGAGTGGTTCCTTCCTGTAGATCTTGATAATACTGCGGTCCTGGATGTCCCTGGTGGGGGAGGGGCAGGGAGTCAGGAGAGAGTCACTACCCCCACCTCGGCCAGAGAGGTGGCAGCTACTACTGGCGGGGGCGGGGAGGGGGTGAAAAGAGGCTTCTGTGACCCAACCCCTTAACTCCACACTCAGTGGATCGCATCTCGGCACCTCCGGCTAACTGCCCAGCACACATCCCCAGCAGCCTTCACCCGGTCCGCCGTCACTTTCAGGCAAACACAAGCCAATGTGAGCCAGCCAGGGTGGACAATCTCTAGGGGAGGGGGTGCAGAGACGGCGGAAGGGGCGGCGCTGTAAGGCTGGGGTGGGGGTGGGGAGAGTTGCTCGCGAAGTAGAGTTCCCTCAGGGAAAGAGCGTGGGGAAGCCCACCCGATCCCCCCGGGGCCGCGCCCACCGGACGTCCTCCAGCTCGTAGAAGACGTTGCGCGCCTCGTCTTTGATGAGGATGGCGGTGTTGGGCGACTTAAGCATGCCCATGGTGAGCTTCTGCGGGAACATGTGCGCGATGAGTGCGTGCAGCGTGTCGAGGCTGCTGACCTCGTGCGTGATGTGCACGCGCCGAGTCTCCTCCCCGAACTGTAGAAACAGCACCCCTGCAAAGGACATGCCACCCTGTCTGTCAGTGGCACCCCGGCCCCGCCGCCGGCGAGGGGAGCGGCCCGGGGAGCTAGGGCTGCCCGCGGGAGCCGCGCTGGTCCCGCAGAGGCAGGGTCTGAGGCTGGACGCTGCCCCGGAGTGCAGGTGCACCCAGGCACTCATGCCGCCCCTGGCCGCACCTATTCAGCCCAGACAGGGGCGGGGCTGGAAGAGGAAATGGAATTGGGGGCAGGACCAGGTGAGGCAGAAACTGGGGGAGCCCAGAAGGACAGAGTTGTTGAAGGGGACAGAGGTGAGAAGGGCTGAAGGAAAAGGGGGTGCTGTTGAAGGGGGGTGAGAGAGAGGGCTGAGGAGGAGAGGGGGAAGCTGAGGGAGAGATTTGTGAGAGAGGTGAGGGAAGAAAGGTGGAGGAGAGCTGGGAAGAGAAACTGAGCAGGCAGAGGAGATTGCTGGCAGGATGAGAGGGGGTGTGGGGAAGGGAGCCAGAGGATTGGCAGAGGGGAGGTGAAAGCCAGGAAAAGGGTGCCCTGAGGAAGAGGAGAGGGAGGAGCCAGTGCCCAGTGGGGAGGGCCGGTGGGGTGGGCAGTACCTGGCGAACGCAGCTTGGTCTGGCTTGCTGACCGGGAGAGGGGCAGGCTCTGCCGGAAGCGGTTCATCCTACTGAAGCCCAGGGGCAGCTCAGCCTCAGACATGGTCTCCAGCGACTCAGCCGAAGCGTAGGACAGCTTGGCTGCCTGGTCTGCCAGCCCGGGCTGGGCTCCCTGAGTGTGGCGTGAGCTGCGGGTCTGCAGGGCAGGGCAGGGCCAGAGGAGCCAAGCATGAGCCCCTTGCCTCTGCCCACTGCCCCCATTCTGGGCGGGGGTGACCCCCTGAGCCAGCAGCACACACACAGGACCATCTCCTGGACTCCAGGCTGGTTGTGTGGCTTCAGGAGAGGCCCCCAACCTCTTGGGGCTTTGGCCTCCCTGGGACACCCAGCAACTAAGGAATGGACAAAGGACTCAGGCATCCGAGAAGCCAGACAGAAAACATCTGAGCAGAAGCCGTGGGCACGCCTGCTATTTTAAGCTCCCAAAGAACAACAACACAAATTTGTCACCGAGGTGAGCAGCAGAATCATTGAGCAAATTGGGGCATTAGTTCCAGACATTAATTAAGCGGCGGGTTTGTAAGCGCGAATTTATTCTTTCTGGAGTTGGGGGAGGACGGGGCAGCAGGTTGAGAAGCAGGGTCCAAGGAGAAAAAACAGAGCCAAGGAACCAGGACCCCAGCTCTGGGAGGAATGGGCCCACCCTTGACTTAGGGTGACTGGGAGCACCATCCTAAACTCTCCAAAGTCAGCCAGACCCTATTTCTGACTACCTGCTTAGCACATATAATGCACATGTTAAGCCCCCTGTGATCCACACGAGCACATGGCGTACATGCCAGGCTCAGCCCCACCTGCAGGGAACATGCTGCCCCCCAGCCCAGCTGCCTGGGCAGCCCGCTGAAAGGCACCACCTGTACCTAGCCAGGCAGCCCCTTGCCCTGAAGCCACAGGGAGGGGCTGTCTAGCTGGGAGCTGGGGAGCTGAGGTGAGGGTGGGAAGGGTGGCACCAGAGTGACCTTTCCCTGCCCCAAACAATGTGCTGCTTCTGTGGGGGGGGGGTGTAGCCATTTCCAATTGCACTGTTAGAGCCTCCTTTGGCGCCTAGCTGAGGCTGCTGTTCAGGGCCGCAGCTCCTGCTGTCCTGCCTCAGTCCCTCCCCTCAAACAAACGAGTATACTCATCTACGTAAGGAAAAAAGATAAATCAGATCTGTATAATTGCATACTCCATACATTATACACATATATGTATCATAGGTACAGACACACTATCAAAGAATCATACATATTGCTTAACTGTATTTTTCTTTTAAAAATTGCCTATTTTAACAAATTACTCAAAGCCATTAACGTTGGTTATCGCATGGAGACAGCTTGCTACATTATACATTTCTCTGTTGGGTCCATTTTGCACAACCAAAATATACTATTTCTATAATAATTAAAAGAAAACAGTGTAAGTATCTCTAAAAAGGAATCACTTATTCTCCCCCTCAGCTCCCTCCTTCCTCAATTCCTGATTAGCCCCTAATTAATCACTTTCTTCATATTAACTCAATTTAATCTTCCAACTGGATTAGCACTCAGAAAGCGAAAGCGTCTTGCTCCGATGTGCAGTGTGCCCAGCGGTCTCCACGTGGCTTGGGGGTTTGAGGACATGGAAAGTCAGATTTGGGGACTTAAGGGGCTTCGGGCCTCAAGCAGGGGGTGGGGTGCATATGGGAGGAAGGAGGGAGCACCAAGAGTGAGCCCTAGAGTGAGCCCGCTTGTGGGATGCTTGCGGCCAGGTTTCTGATCCTGTGACTCAGCTGTAAGGCACCAGCTGGTGCCCCTCTCTGTCACTCCAGACTCAAGGTTGTGTGGGGTACCAGGTCTGGTCCTGCTGGTCATGGGGTTGCCAAGCAACCCGAGGTCTGAGGGCTCACAGAATGAGGCAGCTGGCAGGGATGAAGAGCAGGGATGGCCGCAGGGTCTGGGGCACAAGCGAGGTGCCAGTAGAAGGCTGGGGCAGGGGACAAGGATCTAGGGGCTGCTGAGAAGAGAAGACAGGACCCTACCCAGGGAACCCTGGGAGAAGAGATGCCACATGCCCTGCCTGCCAGCTCCTGCCTCTGTCCCAGCCCGCTGGGCGCCTTCCCATGTCACAGCCTTCTTGAAAGAGAACCCTGCGGCATTTCTCTCCCGGACTGAGACGACAGAGAAAGTGAGACATTCAGAAGGACTTCCAGACTCACAAGGGAGATGACAAAGGAACAAAAACAGTAACTCAAGCAGAAACCCCAAACACAGGAGAGGGGCTGCGTGCATGCGTGGGGGGCAGTGAGCGCCTGCCGCTGCTGGTGCGTGGGGGGCAGTGAGCCCCTGCACTGCCAGTGTCCCTGGAGGCACTGATGGCTCTGGTCTAAGATCAAGCAGAGGGGACCTTAGGGGGTGGGGCAGACCCGGGTCTGAGCTTCTCAAAGGCTGTCTGCAACAGAATCACTTGGGGTCTTTAAATGCACTCTCCAGAACCCCCATATTCACTGAATCAGCACCTCTGGAGGGTGGGTTCAAGAGTTGTGACGAGTTCCCAAGGTGACTGTGATCTCCAGGCAGCTTCTGTGATTCTAGTAGTTACTGAGCTGCGGGGTGGGGTTTGCTCTGAGCCACACTGAATGTAGGACGACCCGTAGCTTGTTTTTTCTATCTTTACAACTCCAGATGAAGATATCTTTGTTCCATTTTAAGGAAGAAAAGCAAGTCTGGGGGGTGGGGGTTGAGGACTCTGCCCCCAGGGCACCAAGCTACTTAGCAGCAGACTGGAATTCCCCACCAGGCAGCCCAGCTCTGGGGCCTGCTGCTGAACCCCCACACCTCCAGAAAGGCTGTACTGCCTGATGCAATGAGTCCCTGACACATGCCTCTCTCATTCAAGGACTTTTCTCTGGGAGAAAGCAGCAGACAGATGCTTGGCACAAAATGACACACAGGGAGTCGGGAGTGGGGGGAGGTGTACCCCGGCTCCCTGTCATGGTGTTGGGACTGGAAAGGCCAGAGACTCAGGATGCCAGCAGCAGGCTCACGTGATCAACTTTGGGCCTGGGTGCCAAGGAAAGAGGGAAGAGGCACCTGAGGTTGCCCCCTGGGGGTCAGCAGGTTGCCTTTGTGGAGAACAGCCCTCCAAAGGGCTGGAGGGTTCTGAGTTGAGTCCTGCATTTGGGCAACAGGTTTGGGGGTACAGGGCTATGAGTCTTCTGCCTGGCACTGACCAGCTCCCAGAGTGGGGAGTGAGAAAGGGATGAGCAACACTCATATTCACAGCCCCCCCCCCATGGTGAAATCTGAATTCAGAGAACAGGGCCCCACTAAGATCATGGGGTTTAGGTCCCCACCTCAGAGCCAGCAGTCTCTCCACGTCAGTTATTCCTCTCATTTCCAAATGCCCCTTGCAGCCCTGAGAAAACCTGGGGGCTGAGAATCCCCAGCCCAGAGCCCCAGCAAGGGTGGCCCAAACACGCACATCGGATTCACAAGCCCCTGGCAGATGAGCCCAGACACTGTCAAAGCAGCAGCCGCAGCCCCAAGGACCCCCGCCCGCACCAGACGCACACCCCTGGCCAAGCATGTGCAGGGAGGGCGGGCCGGGGGTGGGGGGAGAGCACATGCAGTCGCCGGAAGCAGAAGCGCCACACACTGACCTTGAAACTCCAGTAGTTTGGCTGCTGATGGAAATAAGAGAAGAGAGATGGTTACGCCAGGGCTGCAAGGGGAGAACAGAGGTAGGGGGCAGGTTCCGGACCTTGGAACTCAGCACTCAGCCCGGGGTGTGGGTCTCCACCCCCCCCAGCAGCAGGAAGGAAGGAGGAGCTGGTATCCCCAGGAGCCCTGAGACCCAGGAGGCCCTGAGCCTGGCCGGGGAGTGCCGGAGGGGTTCATTCTAGTCACCGTGACTGCCCTCAGAGAGATACCGGTAGGAGGGGGCAGCAGGCTGTGATCTAGGGCTCCATGAGACCCGTGGAGCCCTCCCAGCACTGCCAGGTTGGAGAAACGGCAGCTGGTTGTGGTGGGCCAGAGCAAACCTCCTGCAGGGGTGGTGGTCGAGCGGTCTGGGGAAAGGAGCGGCTCAGAGTAGAAGGGAGGGGGTGTGGAGCAGAGGGGACGGTGTGGGCAAGTGTCGGGCAAACAAGCCTGTGCAGATTGCACAGGGGTAGTCCAGGGTGGCGGGGTGCAGAGCCCGGGAATGTAAGAGCTTGGGCAGCAAAGAGGGGCTGGGCCAGAGCAGTCCCTTATAGAGAGCGGAAGTACTTAGGCTCCACTGCGTGGAGTTGCCGAAAGCTTCTGAGTGGAGCAGATCAGATAGGAACTGGGCTCAGGAGTCTGACGGAGCAGCAATGGAAGAGGGATGCTGGAGGGGAGCAGGGCAGGCCAGGGGGCTGTGTATCACCGAAGACCTAGCTGATGGAGAAAAGCAAGGAGATGCCAGTGGCCTCAGCACTGGGCCACGAATGAGGAGCTGGGTCATCAGAGGGAAGTGGGATCTGGGGGTATGGGCGTTGTCCTTTGGCTGGAGAGATGAGAAAGGAGGCCTCCCTGCACCCCTAGAATGAGGGGGCCTCAGATTTCTCCTCATTCTCAATAATCTGGGGTCACCCGGCCTTCCCTGGAGACCAGAAGGCCCTTCCAGATGGCTAAGGGCAAGATAGGAGTGGTCTGGAAGCTGGAATGGTTCTTGGCAAAGCTGAGGGCACCCTGCTGACCGGTGCCAGTCTCAGCAGGAAGACGGAGGCTGCAGATGGCCTGGCCATGGGGTGCCTGGCACCAGCAAACAAGATTTTGTCTAGGTAGAGGAGAGACACTGATGGTCCCCGGTGACCGGAGGACATCACGCAAGGCTGTCCTGTGCCACCTGAATGCTTTAATGACAGAGAGGAATCAGACAGGGGCTGGCTGAAGGGACATTGCTGGGAGGGAGGCTTTCTCCCAGTTGGACCCTTCAGGTGGGGGTGACACCAGAGAGTGCTGGGGCAAGGAGGTCCACTCTCCAGGACTCCCTACCTAGATCCCAACCCCCCACCTTTCCCTACCTCTCCCCCACCCCACACTCTAAAATACACAAAATAATCACGTGTCATGTGGGGGAAATGAACAACAAAATCTATTCCCTAGCCAATGCCTGGAACAATCTATGGATCCGTGCCACTCCCATGGGTACCAGGGACAGACAGAGGAACGGGCTCCAGCCACAGCTGCCTGTAGCCTTGGGAAGGGGAGGGTGGCAGAGGGAGTGGACACGTGGGGGCAGGCAGAGGGCACGGAAAGGTTTATGGGGGAGCCGCCTCTCCTGCCCTGGCGGTGACGGACGGCTCTGCAGAGAAGGCTGCCGTCCCTTATCCGGCACCACAGCCGAGTCCAGGGGCCACCCACAGAGCCTGCAACACGCAGGCCCCATGCCAAGCTGAGCCACGCAGACTCTCAGACATCCTCCAATAAGAACATCACCACAAACACAACCAGCGCCACAGAAACACGCCCACAAAAGGACACAAGCCCCTGGAGAAGAGCCTGGCCCCCAGCTTCAGCAACAACCCCAGAAACAGAAACACAGAGACAGGCCATCCCATGTGTCTGCACACATATGCCCCCGCCAGGGCACCCTGCCTTGCTCACTCACTCCCACGGCTTCACAGAAACACAGAGGCACCAGCAGCCGTCACGCCCCCCTCAGCGTCACGCCCCCCTCACCGTCCCGCCGGTCACAGGCGCAGAGACCATTCACAGGTATGTACACGTGCACGCACACACCCTCTAGCTGCAGAAACACAGTATGCACACATGCATCCTTCCCGCCCCACTGGTCAGGTGATGGCACCTCTGGCCACCTGTGCCACCATGGCTGTGATGTCCCAGACACCATGCGTCAGGTATCTGGACTCCTGATTCAAAGAAGCAGACAATGCCCGCCCCTCCCCCCAACCTCGTCAACACAACAGTCAGTCTGTGCAGATGGCTGGGGCCCATCTCATGCCTCTGGGCGGGGAAACAGGGACAGCACTGGCCACAGTGCAGCGGCAGTGGCCATGGTCCCGACATGGGTTCCAGGACTGGGCACATCCATGGGGCAGCCAGACCGGAAGGGAGGGGTCGGGGAGAGGCATCAGTGCCACAGGCAAATCCAACCGTGCAAGTCTAGAAAGTGAAGGTGGAGGAGTGGCCGCATCTCTTGTGCTTGGTGAACTTGCACTGAGGCTGAGATCAGGACCTGGGAACTTGGGCTCTGGGGGTAGGGCATGCCGAGTCCTCCCCCCCAGCTCCACTCTGTAAAGTGGGAAGAACCAGCCTCTTCCATGTGGGCCTGTAGTGTCTTTGGCCAGGGAGCCGCAGCAGGGAGAGATCCTTGGGGGGGTAGAGTCCATCCGGCTCTGTCTCTTTCCAGGGACAGCCCTCTGGACTATGGGGGGATTCTCCCCCCCAGCCCAGCACCCCTTACTGTCTTACCACTTCTGAGGTGGTCTGTTCCTCTGGAGTGTCCTGATACAAGGAAGGATATATACAGCGCCTGATATAAGGAAGCCCCCACTGACTCTGAATAAATGCTAAAAACCAGGAGGAGGGGCTGACTCTGAGCAGTCTTGTCTGCCACTGCTCGCTCCACCCTGGCACCCTGGCTCAGCTTCCTGGGTCTTTTCCTTGGGAATTTCCCAGTATCAGAAACCCCCTGGAAGAAGGGCAGAGGCAGGAAGGGTCCACCGCTACCCACCCCAAGGAAAAATCTCTGTCTCTTCCCCACCCCACAAGAGGGAGGGATCTCACCTTCCCAGAGCACAGTGAAAGAGCAAAATAAAGGGTAGAATTGGGAGACTCTGCCAGGGGTGATCACTTGTAGGGCAGAGGGTGACCTGAGAGAGGCCATGAGAGGCTCCTGAAGGCTGGGATGGAAGCAACCCTCCCCTCTAGAGGCCAGGCTCACAGCAATGGAGGAGGGGAGCTTCTCCCAGACCCGGGAGGCCCGCCTGGGAGTCCTCGAACTCCCTGGTGGAAGAGGAAAAGCTTCTCCCCTCTGGGGTAGAGGAGAGATGGCCGGCCCTCCCCCACCCAAGGCCCCTTAGTGGGGTCTTCCCAGCCCCTGCAGCTGGGCCTTTCTCTCCCCCACCCCACCGCCCCGGCAGTGGCCACGCGTGTCCCTGGGAGCCTGAGCCCAGCCAGCTGAGGGCAGGCGTCCCCAGCACTCACCCTTTGACCCGAGCCCCGAAAACTCTTCCTTCAGGGAGATGGGACTACCAGTCGGTCCCGCCCTGCCTCTCATCCCCCTGCCCCGCGAGCTCGGGTGCAAACACCACCTCTCAACTCCTGGGAACACGCGTCCACGTAAACACCCGCCCCCAGGCTGGGGTACTCAGCGCACCCCGGCGCAAGCCTCCCACTGCGGCGCGCGTGCACGACCCTCCTCCTAGGAGTGCCCCACGACACCTCACCTCCCACCCCTGCCCGACGCAGAGTGTGTGTGCGCGGGAGGGGGGGCGGGGGTGCTGCCGGCGCTGCGCCGGGAGCTAGGGCGCACCCCGGGAAGGTCGCGACTTTGCGAGACTGGGCGAGGGTACGTCAGCCGCAATTCGGGGGTGGGCGCGCGGCTTGCGGAAGGTTGCGAACGCGGTGGGGGAGGGGAGGGGGCGTTTCTCCGATATCGGGAACCGCAATCGCCAGCGAGCCCCCCCACGCACGGACGAGCCTCCCGAGGCGAGCAACTGGCCCCCACCTCCGCGCCCCTGGCCCCCACGCAGCCGAGGCGGCGACCCCGGCTCCCGCAGCCGTTCCCTCTTACCTGCCGCCACAGGTGTAGGCGCGGGGGCCCCCAGCCCCAAGTCCCGCGTCGGGCGGGGAAGGGAGGGCGACCCCTACTCCCACCCGCCCGGGCTCTCCCCTCCCCCGGCCGCCTCCGCCGCCGCCGCCGCCGGTGCCCTTTGCTGCAATGCGAGAGCCGCAATCTATGGATCCGTGCCACTCCCATGGGTACC